AGACAGAGCCTCAAGCTGTCCCCCTGGGTAGAGTGCTGTGGCATCACAGCTCACAGCAAGCTCCAACTCCTGGGCTCAAGCGAGTCTCCTGCCTCAGCCTCCCAAGTAGCTGGGACTACAGGCGCCTGCCACAACACCTGGCTATTTTTTTGGTTGCAGCTGTCATTGTTGTTTGGCGGGAGAAATTTTTTTAAAAAAGGAAAAAAGAAAAGAGAGAGAAAGGAGGGGAAAAAGGAAAGAAGGAAGAAAGGGGCAAGAAAGAAAGGGAGATAGAAGGAAAGACTGAAAGAAGGAAGAAAAAGAGGAAATAAAAATGAAAGAAAGAAAGAAAAGACAGAAGGTAAGAGAGAAAGAGAGAGAAAAGGCCTTCTTATTATAGGAAGGATCGGGCTCCCTAGTTTTTCTGAGTTTGTATTAGTGGACCTTCCTGACAGATGCTATCCTCACCTTCTGCTAGAATCCTTCCATGGCTCTGTCAATATTTATCAATGATTGATAGCACCTGATGAACTCACCGCCCCAAGGGAAAGTGCACATTCTTGATGTCAATCTTTATAGAAAAGATGGATCATTAAACAGGCAACTAGGTTTCATTGGTGGGGACTCACAAAAGTGGGAGATGGAATTTCTGCTCCTCACCTGAGACTTGTCTGTCTGTACTTCAAGAGTATGGACTGGTGTGAGAGCTGCTAGAATTAGGCAGGAAGGCAGCAGTGAAGGGACCTCATGATAGAGATAAGCCAGCCAGGCCTTGGAAGCTTGACTTCCTGGTTGTCCATTATTCTGCATGTTCAAATATTGTTCAGGTTTTAAAGCCATTTGCAGCCAGAAGTAAGCACTGGGGTATTCAAACAAGCTTTCATGAAAGAAAGGGGATTTGAGGAGGCCTTGAAGGAGAGCTAGGACTATTACGTAGAGATGTGAAGGAGGGGGGAGAGAAGGGCATTGCTATAAAGGAAGAAGAAAGATCAGCAGAGGTTAGAAGGAGCATGATGTGAATGGGTTGGGAATGGCTCTGAGGACATGAAGGAGATATGTTATAGAGGATCCCTAAGAAATAAGATGCAATGGGTGGCTGGGTGTGGTGGCTCATGCCTGTAATCCTAGGACTCTGGGAGGCTGAGGCAGGAGGATCATTTGAGGCCAGGAGTTTGAGACATACCTGAACAATCGAAAGACTTTGTCTCTTCAAAAATAGAAAAATTGGCTGGGTGCGGTGGCTCATGCCTGTAATCCTAGAACTCTGGGAGGCCGAGGTGGGTGGATTGCCTGAGCTCACAGGTTTGGGACCAGCCTGAGTCAGAGCAAGACCTCATCTCTAAAAATAGCTGGGCATTGTGGCGGGCACCTATAGTCTCAGCTACTTGGGAGGCTGAGGCAAGAAACTCGCTTGAACCCGAGAGTTAGAGGTTGCTGTGAACTATGACGCCATAGCACTTTACTAAGGTCAACAAGGTGAGAGAGTCTGTCTCAAAAATAAATAAATAAATACATATATACATAAATAAATAAAAGATAAATTAAAAAAAGAAAATTAGGGCAGTGCCTGTGGCTCAGTGGGTAGGGCACTGGCCCCATATACTGAGGGTGGCAGGTTCAAACCTGGCCCTGGCCAAACTGCAACAAAAAATAGCCAGGCGTTGTGGTGGGTGCCTGTGGTCACAGCTACTTGGGAGGCTGAGGCAAT